ATACCTAGCAAAAACCAAAAAACCACAAATGACAATGAACAAAAACAGACCTATTACAAAGAGTATATACAAATCCCTATTTCTAAGCCAAAACATTTGAACAGCTGATCATGACTTCTAACAACCAAACACGAGCTCAGGACCCCGGGTTCGCTAAGACCCGTAAACACGTAAGAACGTGTTTCCCTGGGGGATATCAAATACAGAACACAAACCACAAGAGAAGAAGGGCAAAAACAGACCTATAACAAACAGTAAAAACAATTTCCAAATACAAAGCCAATACAGTTGAACATCTGATCATCACTACCTACTCAGAACAAAATCAAAAAAAAAAAAGAAGACCAAAAACAGACGTGTTACAAATAGTATAAACGATTCCCTAATTTATAGCCAACAGTGTTGATCATCTGTACAACACTACCTACAAACAACCAAACTGAAAAAATTAAAGAACTACAAAGAATAAAGAATAGACAACAAATATATCCAACACCACAATAAAATACGAATGATCAAATAAACCAAAGAACAAAAACAGACCTATAAAAATCAAACAAACAGTAAAAGCAATAACCTAAACCGAATATAATGTTGATCAGATGTTCAAGACGTAATTTGAAACAATCAAACAAAAAATTGTATAGAACATCTACGCATAAGAAAAAGACAACAAATATATAAATTAGCACAAAAAATACAATAATTATTTATGAAAAAAAATCAATTATTTAAAATACACGAGGAAACATTTTTATACACTTACTAATTTTTTTTTGCGCGAGTAGGCAATATGAATATACCTGAAAATCTATATGATGACAATAACAACTCTATACATACATTTTCCTGATTTTGGCCAAAGCCGTGCTCGAACTACGATCTATATATTTAATGCGTGGCGTTACTTAGGGATGGACCCAAAGACAGGTGGTGATTACTCGACCTGGGCAGATGCACGCTGCTCCCTGCCGGTCTGCTGACTTCCGTACCTAAATATTTTATTTTATTTATTTATTTATTCAGAAAACATTTGTATGTTGGAGTATGTTATAACATGTATACATTTTCCACTGCACTTTAAATGGAATTATAGAAATACAAATACTATTTAAATTATGTAGGTACATTTAATTTATAAAAACTTCTGGGCGCTTCATCTTCCCTTAAAATTTTTTTATTTCCGCCACCGAACACATTGTATGGATATAATACATACATTTTTAAAAAACAGTAATTATAATGAAATTGCTTAAACAATATATATTAATCAACAACAATAAAAAAATAATCCACTTTATTAATATCCTAGATAAAATTTCAACGAATTTATATCTAGGTTACGTATATTTAAAAATTAAAGTCAGACATCGAGAAGTATTTTTAATTTTCTATTGTATTGAAATAATTTTTCTATTTCATAATATTAGATATTGAACAATTATTTAAAATAGAAAAATCCTCACCAAATAAGCAAATAGTAATAATGTACAATAATTCTTATTGCACATACATATTTGGAGAACTATATATGGAAGCTTTAAAGATAATCGTGAATTGCGCAGAACAGATCTAGCGGCTTTAAAAAATTGTATTGTTTACAAATAGATAGGTATATTATTAATACTAATTAATATAATATGCCACAGTGCCAGTCAAAACAATATAATATGCGTTATTTTGTATTTAAAATGAGTAAATATAATTCGTAATGATGAAAAATACATATTTCTATTCATAAAGAATGACTATCTAAAATTCAAAAAAATTTGCAGCCTTGTGCGGTCGCAAGGGACGCACGTGCCTTCCGCCGACCCTGAATAGTATAAATATAACGATGTATTAATACTTGAATTATATGAAATATCAAGAAAAAATACACACTAATGTAATTCAATTTTTAAATTTAGAGAATTAATAAATTAAATGAATATTGAATGGAAAAAAACGTATTTAAGTAAAAGAAAAATATTATATACACAAACGAGAATACTTAACTATTATAAGTTTTAAAAAAGATTAAATATAAAAAAATAAAATAGTAGCTATAAAAAAATGAATATAATTTATTTAAATTACAATTACAGTTGTTATTTAAAAGAAAAACGATGTACCTGTATTAGCGGGAGAAAGTAAGAACTTATTTCTCGTTAGTTCTTTTCACTCTGGATCGGCTCCTAGACTTCGGTTGTTTACTGTCATAAAATAAACAACAAGAATATTTAAATAATCAAGTATGCTTTAAGATTTAAAATAAAAATTAATTATCATTTTAGTTTTTTTTAATTTAATTTTATATATTAAGAAAAAAAATGTTGTAATAAATTTAATTGGTCAAAATGAAAATATTTAACAAACCCACATAGAATATGACAAATTTATGTATATATATGACATAGATTATCTGTCTCATCGTTGCTAACCGTCATGGTTTGTCGCCAAAACAAATTATTTAAATGTAAATGATTTTTATATAATAGTACAACAATTTATTTTAATTATAAATTCAATAACCGATAAAATACTAAGGTCTGTTAAATTTGTAACATTTTTTTACGATCTAGGACATTTCGGCGCCAGGTGTTATATGGACATTCTGTCGGATGAATTACCAGAAGAAATCTTACCTTTGTTAGACTGGTTTGAAGAAAATTATATTGATAGAGTTCATAGGAATCGACGTCGAAATGCACGTTTTCCTCCAATCTGTGGAATTTCCACGAACGAGTTTTAAATAAAAATTATAGAACTAATAATTATGCAGAAGCCGCTAATAGACGACTCAATGTTCAAATGGGGGTTACTTATCCAACACTATGGGCTTTTATATCTTGCTTAAGAAAAATACAGAGTGGTCGAGATACTTTTTATTGCCAATTAGAAACTGGTAAAAGCCCACCGAAAAAACAAATTTTTGGATGTTGATAAGCGAATCTTTAAAATAGTTAGCAATTATATTAATAGGGATATATTAACATTTTTAAGAGGTATTGCTCATAATTTAAGCATGACACAATTATATATTACATGTTTATTTTATTATTAGAGTGACATATTGATATTGTATTATTAATTTTATATTTATTATTTATTATGCACGATATTATCAAAACTATAAATTTTTTGACAATATCTACAAAAGTGAATTATAATATTAATTTTATAGAAGTAAATTTTTGTATTATGTAAATTAGTGTTATCCAGCGCCGAAACATACCTCGCGCCGAAACGGTCGCGCCAAAATGGCCGCGCCGAAATGTTCGTTTTCGATTTTTTTATACACGCTCATTTATAATTCTGTTTCAAAATAATTTTTACTGAAACTATTAGGCTATAGCGCTTGTTATAATATTACTATGTACAAATATAACAACGAATTGTAATTTGAAACACGGCTAAAAATATTTATAATTTACAATATCTTATAACAATTTATTATATTTATAAATATTTCTCAATCCCGATAAAAAAAGTATGCCAAAAATGGCTTTATCTCCTGGTCCCCGGCTGCTGGGGAAAATATATAATAAGTCCTAATTTTAAATATTATTTATATACTTACAAAATAATAATTAAAAATTATTAAAAGCATTATACTTTCAATTTTTAAAAAAAAATAAAAAGAGATATTGGAGATACTGGGGTTTAGAGACTACTCATCCAGGCGAAACCCGTGTAGATATACCGAATAAGCACATTCAGTTGACAATCCAACATTCCTAAACGAAAAGCATTAATTTACTGATTGGAACTATGGTGACATTTAATTTATCCTTTTTTCGATGATTATTTAAAGTTTAATCGTTAAAACACAATATTTAAAAATTGAAGGAAGTTCATATACAAGGCAAAATTTTATTTAATGTGTTAACAGTACAATAGTTATTTTTGACAATAAAAAAAATCTAAATTTAAATTTTATAAAATTGTATTAGGGTATTAAAATTAAAATTTGTTTATTGTTACTTTTGAAATATTAATTAGATATTGATGTGTAATATAATTTATTTATATACGTATATGTTTTTTTTTTAAATTTGTAATATATTTTGTGTAACATAATTATTATTCTGTATGTTTTTTTAACTTTATAATTTAAAAAAGGCCAGTATGTATCATAATATTAACAAACCAGTGCCTTCTCATATAAGAATGTCACATATGCCGAAAAATATTATTGGATTTCCTATTTCTACAGAAACTTGTCTGCTTAATAATACTATAATTTTAATTGTTAATAAAAAATAAAAAAAATTTTCTTGGCTCTAAAGAATACTCATGCAGATGTATCAAATAAATATTTATTATAATAAAAAACAACGAATACTAATGCAATTAAATTGATAAATTTAGAGACTAATAATTTAAATGAATATTGAATGAAAAATGTTATTTAACTTATGAAAACATTTCATTTAAATGCCCGAGAATACTTAATTATCTTTAGTTTTAAAAATATAATGGATTATATGAAAAAATATACTACAAACTAAAAAACAAAAATGTAATTAATTGTATTATGATTGCATTTTTTATTCAAAAGATAAACGACGTTCCTACCTCTATTTGTGTGAAGTAAATAGGTATATGTTAGTCTCTCGTAATTTCATTTCACTCTGGATCGGCTCATATATTTTGACTGTTCACTGTAATAAAGTAAACAATGACAAAATTTAAATATTCAATTATGATTTTAGTTTTTTTAAATTTTTTTTATACATTATACACAAAAATTCGTAAGAAAGTAATTTGTCAAAATGAAAATATTGAACAATTGCAAATATAATATGACAATTAAAATCGGACATAGATTATTTGCTCATTGTTTCTAACCGTCATGATTTACCGCCAAAAAATATTATTTAAATTTGAAATATTTTATATACACTCTTATTTAAGTTTCTGTTTCAAAACAATTTTTACTGAAACAATTAGGCTATAGCAATTGTTAGAATATAACTATGTACAAATAAATATAACAATGTATTGTAATTTGAAACATGGATATTACAAATTTCAATTATTATAAAACAATAAATAATATTTATAAATATTTCTCAATCCCGTTAAAAAAAGTATACCAAAAAAGACTTAGTTTTCTGGTTCCTGGGGATACTGCGGGAAATATAAAGTATGTCCTAATTTTAAACATTATTTATATACTTACAATATCATAAATATATATTATTAAAAACATTATACTCTCAATTTTTAATAAAAAATAATAAGAGGTATCTTGTGGTCTAGAGACTACTCATGCAGGTGAAACCCGTGTGGAGGTACTGAATAAGCAATTTCAATTGACAATCCAACACTTACAAACGAAAAGCATTAATTTACTGATTGAAACTATAGGTGAATTTAATTTATCCTTTTTTTCAATGATTATTTAACGTTTAATCATTAAAATACAAGATTTGAAAATTGAAGAAAGTTTTTATATACGACAAGATTTTATTCGTTGTGTTAACAAAACGATAATTAATTAAGACAATAAAAATAAATGATTTTTAAATTTTATAAAATTGTATTAGGGTATTGAAAATTTAATTTGTTTAATGTAATTTTTGAAATATTAATTAGATATTGATGTATAATATTTTTTGTATATATATGTATATGTTTTTTTTAAATGTGTGATATATTTTGCGTAATGTCATTATTATTATTTTTTAACTATATAATTCAAAAAAGGCTAGTATGTATCATAATATCCACAAACCAGTACCTTCTGGTTTACGATAGTCACATTTAAAGAAAATTATTATTCGAATTGCTATTTCTATAGAACATTTTTGCTTCCCCTTATTTGTTGTGTAGCTTAAATCTCTAACATTTTTCTGTAAAATCCTTAAATAATGCTAAAGCTGACACTGGTTCATTTACTGTGTATTAAACTATAATTTTAGTTATTAATAAAAATAAAAATTTTTATCCTGGATCTAAAGAATATTCATGCAGATGAATCAAATAAATATTTATTATAATAAAAAACAACGAATACTAATGCAATTAAATTGTTAAATTTAGAGACTAATAATTTAAAGGAATATTGAATGGAAATATTTTATTTAAATACCCGAGGCTACATAATTATTTTTATTTTTAAAAAGGTAATGGACTATACGAAAAAATATACTAGAAACTAAAAAACATAAATTAAAATAATTCTATTATGATTGCATTTTTTATTCAAAATATAAAAGGCGTACCTGTATTTTCGTGAAGTAAATAGGTATAGGCTAGTTTCTCGTAATTTCATTTCACTCTGGATCGGCTCATAGATTTAGGCTGTTTATTGTTATAAAATAAAAAACGAGAATATTTAAATAATCAAGTATGCTTTAAGATTTAAAAAAAAAAAATTATGATTTTAGTTTTATTTAATTTAATTTTATATATTATGAAAAGAAATTTTGTAATAAATTGAATTGGTCGAAATAAAAATATTTAACAAACCCACACAGAATATGACAAATTTATATATATATATATATGACATAGATTATCTGCCTCATCGTTGCTAACCGTCCTGGTTTGTCGCCAAAAACAAATTATTTAAATATAAATGATTTTTATATACGAGTACAACAATTTATTTTAATTATAAATACAATAACCGATAAAATACTAAGGTCTGATAAATTTGTAACATTTATTTATACACCTTCATTTAACCTAACCTAACCTACCAAAAATCAATTCACCCTATCGAATCCTGCGCTCATACATATATTTTTTAATGTATTTAAACTTTAAAGTATTGAAGGTATCTGATCGTATGTTCTGGTGGACATGTAATAAATTTCTTGTGTGGTAAAAAAGTGCAATTCACGCTAAAGTGGAAACAGGTATTTATGAAAAATAAAAGGTAGGTATTAATTATTACCTATTTACCTTACTTATTGCATACCTACCAACTTCATAGTGGTTTAAAAAAAAAAAAAAACACTTAATATCAATTTGAAGCGTATATAAATATAGGTTTAATTATTTAAATATTAAATATGTTATTAAAATTAAAGAAAAATAAAACAAAAAACTGTTTATTTAATTTTTTAAACAACTGTAATTTAAAATAAGATGTTTCAAAAATGTTTCATGGGGCTATTGGTAATTTTAGTAACTATTTTAAAATGTTTAAAAGATGTATTTTCTTGCTGTATAATCACTTTAAAACACTGAGAACCGAGAGGCGTTTAGCTTCATAATGTGTGCGAAATAGATATAGGGTTGCCATACGTCCCGGAAAACCGGGATTGTCACCGGTTTTGGACTTCGCATCCCGGTGTCCCGAAAAATGTTTTCGGGACGTCCATATGTCCCGGCTTAGACGATTAGAAGAAATGTAATATTGTTTAATTTTTAATTTCGACCATTTTATCTCAAAGTACGTTTTTAATCGTAATCGATTAACAATATATAATAAAACCATGATTTGTAATTTACACATTTAAATATATAATATGTTTTATTTCTCAAAATTTTTTTTTAATATTATACAGCCATATACATAACTTTTGTATGGGGGTATCATTTGGAAACAAATAATTATTTTTTTTTACGTTTCTAACGTGCTCACACTAAAAACATTATTTTATAACACTTAAAAAAAGACCTAAGGGGATCTGACCTCCACATCTCCCCCTTGTATACGCCACTCATCCTCTCAATATATTTAGAGTTATATAAAAAGTATATAATTCAATATTGTGTTTATGTTGTCCCGGTTTCACCTTATAAATTTATGGCAATCCTTTTTTTTTTTTTTAATCGATGGTGTCCCGGGAAACGTGTTAACATTACTGCCGGGGAAATTTATGGCAACCCTAAATAGATATAAATGTCAATGTACTTCTTTATACTTGATATGGTATAAAGACATTCATTGATAGGCAAATTGCTCTATCGCATCATAGTATTCTACCATTTACAGATAGACTATCATTTAATTTGTACATTCTTAAGATTTACTAACTAGAGTGTACATTTATCCAATCAACCCACCCTACACCCACTCAAACACCAGACACCCACCACCATAGTTAAATGAAGGAGCGAATTGCCCTATAAAATTACGTGTTCGACGCCATTGGTTGTAACTTACAACTTACAACTTGTAAGCATCTCGTTTCATAACAATATGGAGTAATTAATGAATATGTTTTCTGTGTTAAAAACCATGGTCGCCATCATGGAGGAAATCGAGAGCACCGGTATTCCATTTGGTCTTCCATGCGCGCCGCCGTGTTATCTCGCCATAATCATGGTAATCACGTGAAAACGGAGCATGTGACCACGTGAGATAGTCCAAAACTCCAATCCCAATGTCGAAGACGCGGGCCGTAGCGGTGGCGGTGCTAACAGTGTAAAGGCGGTTGTCGCGATATAGGACATGGCCGTGCAGTACATCAGTGTCGCATTATTATCGTTGTGATCTCGTTCGTATAAGTTTACGCGCAAATATATATACACACACAGACCATCTCACACGTATAAAACATATTTATATACACAAAATACACACACACACACACATATATATATACATTAAAACGCGCGCGAGCACATCAATCTATGCGATCGTGGTAAAGTTCCTATAAAAACAAACGTCACTCGGATTGATAGCGGACGCAATAAATAATTCAGTGATCCTTTTTATCCGTTCCATCTCATCCTTCGCTTATCTGTCGAATACCGAAAAACCTCGTGAAATTCCCTCTACAACGAGTTAGCCCGCGCGTACCGGCACTCCGTAACGAGGAACGACATCGCTGTCGTCGTCGCGAGTGCAAATAACAGTTCTAAGTACCTGTGGCTGCTGCTGCTGCTGCTTCTGAAACAGTATATCTAATATTTAATATTGTTTATACGTAAACAATTGTGTTTACAACTATTAGTACTGCTGCTGCTGCTATTGGTATACTATCATTACTTCTGTTAGGCTCCTTGGGTTAGGTAAGTCATCCTAGGACTTCAAAAATAATAGCTGTTAACTACTGAGTTTCAATATTGTCATTTTTATGGTTACTTGCATGTAGTTTTGTTTTGATTCTTAATACTGCACTAATTTTTGATTAAATTTTTGATTTAATTTTTGTTTATATATATATATATTTTTTTTATAGGTACATTTTCTTTCTTCGGTTATAGTTTCTTGCGTTGTAGTGGTTTTTGTTTTTTTGCAATCAATTTATATTATTTACATATATACTTATATATATGCATTAGTAAAAACTACAAGTAACAAGTGATACATATAGTTTTATTAAATTTACGGACATGTATTCTGATTTTATAGAGTAAGTTTTACTTGTATAAGTATTATTATTATTTATTATTATACTACATAGTCACTTGCTTAAGTTTATCTATAACTTTTATAATTTAGGTCACCGTCAAAGGACTGTTTCTCATTTAATGATCAATCATCATCGTCATATGATATGGCAGAGGTAAAGAGTTTTATGATATATTTATTAGTGTGAGTATAATTTTAATTTAACTATTTATTTTAGGTGAATGAGATTAATAATCAAACAAATTTGGATTATATTTTTGATTCCTATTATTCATCGTAAGTAATTTATAATTATAATTAAAAAGTTATGTTCTTTAGTGTTTATAATACTGATTATATAGATAGAATGGATTTGGATTTTTAATGAGAATTTGACCAATACATAATTATTAATGTATATTGACTGTATGTTAGATATTTTAGACTCTAGTAAAAAATCACTTCACCTTATCTTCATATATAATATTATTTAATTTAATATTAAGTTTCCTTAGTAAGTTAATAGGATAGTAATTAATCTTACCAAGATTAAATAAACAGTAGTTTATAGTTTTTATTTAAATTTTTTAAATTATGTTATATTTTTTAGTTTATCCATATATAAATTTATAGAGTTGTTTTAATTTACCAGTTTAGTTTTAGTGTAATACAATTAAATAAAATGTAATGTATTATAAACTCTAAATCATAGTTAAAATACATATACAAGCTTAATAAATGCTCGTGTAATAGTAAATAATATAGTACATGAGGCTTGTAAATTAAATATATATTGTTGTATAAGACATACGAGTCATCTAATACTCATAATATGTTGTTACATATTGTAATTTAATTTAAAATATGTTAAATGCATATTTAGTTTTAGTATAGTTTTTGCAATTTTTTATAAATTTAAAATTTTCAAGTATTTGGCTCTTTAATTTTTAAAAATATTGTAAATTTCAATGTTATAATGAAATTTTATTGCACATTTAAGTATTGTCTTCTATTTTACAAAATATATTGAGTCGAAAACATGTAATAATTTATATTTAATTGATTCAATTTTTTTTTTTTCTAAGAAAAAAATAGTTAATTATTCTAAACAAAAAAAATATTTCGCCATTATAATTAATAATGTATGTATGACAATGATGTTAAATATATTATACTGAATTTTGCTATTGGTTTTATGAATTAAGTAGAATTTTTTCATGCTTTTCGTGCAATCAGTAGTTTTATCTCCTTACGGTTTCCAATTACATGAATTTGGCAACGGCAATGCTGTTATCATAGAATTGGACAACTTCACAAATTTGACATAACATATACAACATTAAATCTGCGATTTAAGGCAATATAGTAACTAATTAAAAATATTACTATCATAATTTAAATCAAATTTATTATTTAAAATTATAGTAGTAATTAGTTTAAAATTAGATTATAAACCAAAATTATTATCAATTATAAACTTGTTAATAATGTAGTTAAAAACTTCAATATTACAATAAATATGAATACCAATGTTTGATTTAAAAATTCAATTCAAGATTACTATTTTTAAACAAAAACAAAAAAACAATGGTATTTTGTCTAAAATTTAAATTGAATATCAAATGCATTAAATTGTAGTCTGTTTTATAAGTAATTAGTTATAATGTTTTTGATTCTGGGGGAAAAAAAGGAGCTTTTGGTTTTACTATGTATATTTCGAAGAAGAAAAATTGTTTGTATCTGTATTAAATTTCAACCAAAGAATTATTCCAATTATTCCAATTATTAATGATTTTTTGATAGAAAATATTGACTTGTTGATTACATTAGGATATAATATTATAAAATTGTCCAATAGTTCTCATAATAAATGATAAAATTGATGAAATTAATTTTATTTTATTATCACAACTCAAAAAAATAATAACTGTAGAGACATGAAATATTAATTTAATATTTATATTACTATTTGTTATAAATGTTATATTTTTTAAAAGATTTCCACATTTTTTTATGCGTTTTATAGATACTTATATATTTCATATTCTTTTTTTAAACTTTTTTGTAAATTGTTAATAAAATTATTGTGGTTTAAAAAATTTTCTTCTCAATTACAAATCAATACAGTAGTGTCATCCACTTAACTATGGGGTCTTACCCATTTTATAAATTATCAATATTTATGAAACTGAAATTTAAAAAAATCAAATACATACTTTCATCTAACCTTCCCTTTATTAATATATAAAATGTGTACCATAATGAAAAAAAATTATTTAGTTAAACCATTATTTCACTGGTTATTTAAATGTTTCTAGAGGTATAAGAGTTTTCTGTAGGTTTTTAGAGCTTAAACATCCTAACATTAGTGATATTAATATTATTTCATATTTATATATATATTTGTAAAATATTTATACAATATATACAATTATTACAGAAACCCCATTAAAGATAGACATTTTGAAATTTATTTTTTTTAATTTTTTGTATTTTATTATTAGATGCATTGATTTGTGCAGAAGTTCCATATGTAACCTCATTTAGGAAATTTTTTTTAATTAGTATCTAGATAGTTTAGTGTTCTGGCTATAAGAAGTTTCTCTAATAAGTGATTAACTTATTGATATATAAATATTATTATCTAATTCTAATTTAACTCAGATTTCTGTTTACAATTTATATTTTATTTTCCTAAAACTTGTAAATATCTTTTAAACAGATTTACTTTAATAGAAAATGACACAAATAAATGTTTAACAGTTGAACATTAAATAACTCTTATAGTTAATTAGCTATTTTAAGTTTGTATAATTGATTAACAAATGTTATCCTGTATAATTCAGTTGCGTTTCACCAATATTTAAAATACTCATAATTAATTAATGGTTTGATAATTGATTTTTAAAAATTAAAATGTTCAGCTAAAAGATCTTTTTTAAAATATGATGTTTAAAATGTATGTTACCATTTTAAACAAAAAAAAAAAAAACAAAAAAAAGGAATTTAAAACTAATTTTTAGTAAAACTAGAATTTTAAGAAACACTTGATTTAAACTACAAAATTGGGTTAGTATGCTTAAAAAATCACAGTATTTTATTAAATAAATAAAAAAGCTTTTCGTGCATGAACTTTCATAACTCTTAAGTATTAATAATTGTATACAATTTTATATTATATTTAATTTAATTATATTTTAATGTGAAAAATACAAAAATACAATTGTTGACATAACATAATTGTTTTTTTATGTTTTAGTGTATCACAATATAATTCAAATTTTGGACTTCCAGAAGACTGTAAAAATATGAGTTTTTCAGAACTATTTGATCAAGAATTATTTAGTACTAATGGTAATGTTGCTTAAAATTATTTTTTTATTTTATTAATACTATGACTTATGAGTATGTAATTTCAGAAAATAAAGACTGTAAAATTACCATTAAAATAGAAGAAGAAGAACCATCATCTATTCAATGTTATTCTGTTGATGATTCTCAAGATATTATTGGCCATCAAATTTCAACGCAAATTGAAGAAAATATTTCTCCTTTGACTTCATTACCTAAAAGTTTTGCTCCTAAACGAGGTATTAATAGAACGTCTATTAAAACCACTGACAGCTGTGATGTTAAACAGCTTATGTGTAATCCTTTTTTTGAAACAGATGATCTAGATATTGATAAAATATCAGTAAAAGTTGAAAACCCTAGTATAAAACTTGAACCTGAATATACTGATGATACTATTGTTGGAATGGAAGTAAAATTATGTTGTTCTACAGATGATTCACAAAATTTAATTAACAAACCTAATTTGGTAAACATTGAAGATGGTCATACATCTTTAATGACTAAAACTTCTACTGAATCTACAGAAAATTGTAATATTAAACATGAAATTAACAATTCTTTTTATACTCACAACAATCTTAATAATGATAAAAATTCAGTGGTAGTTAATTCATCTACTTTAAAACTTACAACCAAACATTTCAATGATGATGTTGAACAAAACATTGTTAAAATGAAAAATCAACAGCATTATGTTGAAAATACAATTGATAGTAATAGTATTTTAATAATGAATGATAAAGTTCGATCAGAATTATCAAAAAATACTATTTCAAAGCCTCAAGATATTGTTAGAACTTCTGTAAAATCTACAGCAAAATCCAATGTTAAAAATTTTATGTTTAACTCATGTCATTCTTTACAAGATAATAAAATGTCAATAAAAAACAATCAATCTATTACAAAATGTAAACTGAAAAATGTCAACAATAATATCAAACATAACATTAAAACAGAAATCCATTCAAATAATTTTGCTGGCGATTTACAACATATGAATAACAGTAACATAAATGTTATAAATGAAGATGATATTGCATCTCCATCATCAAGAATTTTAATTCAAAAGTGTCCAGGCATTTATAAAACCACTTTAAAACCCATTAAAAATTGTGATGTAAAGCATCTCATGTACAACACACTTTGTCAATCAAAAAAACTAAAGCTTGATCAGAAAACAATTGAAATTAATACATCTTTTATAAAATGTGAATCTGAAGACATCAATTATACTATTGATCAGAATGTAAATGAAAAAGAAATTCAACCACATTATTCTCAAAAAAATACAACTCATAATCATAGTATTTTAAAAATCGAAGAGAAAGTTCCATCTCTTTTATCTAAAAATGTTATTCCTCAGCGCCAAGTTAATTCTAGAAAGTCATTAAAATCTCAATGTTCTAATGTTAAAAATCTCATGTTTAACCCTCTTTGTACATCACAAAATCAAGGAAATAATAAAATGCCTATAAAAATCAACCTATCTACTGCAAAGTGTGAACCAAAATATGTCAACAGTAATATTGAACAAAAAATTGAACCAGAACTCCAATCATATTATTCTACTGATGATTTACAATACATAAATAACAGTGAGATAAATATTAAAGTTGAAAATAATATTGTGTCTTCAGTATCAAAAAGTTCTCCTAAGTATAGAGACATTAACAAAAGTTCTTTAAAAACTACTGAAAACACTGAAATTAAACACCTTAAGTTCAACAATCTTTGCCAAACAAAAAATCTAGGACTTGACCCGAAATCCGCAAAATTCAATAGTCTTTTTGTAAAATCTGAATCTGAAGACATTTATAATACTAATGGACAAAAAATTGATGAAATCAATGTAAAATCATATTGTTCATCGAATGGCTTACAAAGTGCAACGGACCATCATAATTTTGTTAAAGTTGAAAGTTCTGTTCTAAAATATCAAGGTATTAATACAACTCCTGTCAAAATGATTAAAAACTGTGAAGTTATAAGACCGAAACCCAAAAATATCAATGATATTATTCAAAAAAAAATTGTTAAAATGGAAGTACAAACAAATGATAAAAACTTGAATAATGAAAATAAAATAGAATATGATGTTCCAAATGAAATTTGTAGTCTATATTCTAGCGACACAATTATTGAAAGTGTTAATTCACAAAATTGTATTCTTAAAAATGAATTAAACTTGGAAACTGAGAAAAAGAAAATTTCTATGGAAGAATATAGAGCTAAAAGAGGCAAAATAAGCTTGTTAAAAAATACTTCAGGTATTATTTTTATAATAATAATTTATTAACAATTCTATAATAGATAATATATTTATTTTTTTATTTTTTAGAAAATATTACAGAGTCTACAACAGAACTAGTTGAAACAGATAATGGTAAATTAAAAGCTATTAAAGAAGAATTTGATCGGAACACGAATGAACATTTCATTGGCCAGAAAAGAAAAATTGAAGATGAAGATCAAAGTCCTGTATCGAAAGAAATAATCAATGAAGAGGATAAAGAATTACAAACAAAGCGAATGAAAATTGAATATATTAAAAAACTCTTACCATCATCGTTTGGTAACTTATTACATATATTGTATTGAACTATAATTAAATTATTTTTTTATTATTTATTATTTATTTTTTTTAGCATCAGAAATAGCAAAAACCTCAAGTTTGATGAAGGGTACATTAGTTGAAGATAATGGTGATTAAATTTTTTAAACAGTGCCTTTAAAATATTTGATTTATTTGTTTTTATTTCTAGAAAATGAAAATAACTCTGATAATTTAATTATGTCCTATGATAAAACACAAAGAAAATATACAGAAATGTATAATGATTTAGAATATTCAAAAAAAGAGGAAAAATCTCAAAGAAAAGGTTACCTAAACAAAACTCATCCATTTTATCGTAGTTCAAGGTTAGAATAATAAAATTATTTAAACTATAATTGTTGATACTTAATGTCATAATTCTTTAGGTCTGACTATAGTAATAAAAGTGGTCGATCTTCATCTTCATTATCAAATTCTGATGATTATTACAATCGTAACAGAAGTGATTCTCCACAACAAAATGGACAATATGGTCAGAATGTTCGAAACCCTGCTCAAAGGTAATGCAGAAATGAAGCTTGTAACTTTTCTACAAATTGTGTTACTTACATATTATTATTGTAAAACACAAATTATGCAGGTCTAAAGAACAGAAAAGGGTAGTCTATGTTGGACAGATACCAATTAAATTTGGAAAACGTTACTTATACAGTCGGTTCGAGGAATTTGGCTCAATAATATCTCTAACGCTTCATAAAAAACCTGAGTATAAACGCAACATTATTTGAAATAATATTTACTATGCTATTGATTTTGATGATTTTATAGTTTTCGTGTTTATTATGCATTTGTAACATATTCCGATAAAGCAGAAGCTGAACGTGCTATCAATCATGGAAATGATGATAGAAGTCAGGTCCAGTTAGATATTAGGTTTGGAGAACGAAAACAAACTCAAACTCCTTACTATGATTTAGGTGGACATTTTAACTATTATTTAAATAAAAATTAATATTTAAATACAATTATTAATTGTTATTTAGATGATGAATGGTTAACCGATTGGTATGGATACAACTCACCTGTACCGGTTGTGAGAGCTAGAAATAGTCCTGAAAAAGTTTCTTTTCAAGAAGAATTGGAAGAATTTTATAAGCTTGCTCAAATTAAGAAGTTAAATCAAAAGTCATCTCAAATCTCTTGACATAAATTTTTTATTTTATTTCACCTTGTAGTGTTGGAATATAATTGTAATTCATATTGTTATAATTTTTTTCTTAAATTTGTTTTTTTTTTAAAAAAAAATATGATGATTTAAAAAAAAAGATTTTTTGTTACACATACAATTATTAATGCATATGATAAAAAAAAAATAGTTAACATTTTTAAACATTTTCTGCTGTTTTCTTTTCTTGAACAATTTTAGCTACTTTCCTGGTTTCAATTACATTGGTTTTAGTACATTGCATTTCAGTCCAACTTATTGGAATCATTGGAAAGCCTGAAAATTACACAAAACTAAGTAAGCAATTAAATTGCATAATGATTAACCAATTTTTACTCACCATATTCACTGCAGGCAATGACTACACCAAGTTCATTTTCAGCTGTAGTAAGTTTAAATGTATGTGCTTCAGTCATTGGCAGCTGAAAATAAAGTACATATTCAAATATCTATTTCATAGACTGGGTGATGCTAATTACTAACAATTCTAGCCAAAATTATGTCACCCGGCCTAAAACATTGTAGCATATCAATTTTGTCGATTTCTTTAGTCCGTACATCTTGTTTTCGTAAGCTACTCCTGTAGGTTTCATTCAATTCATGTCCACAGACACTAGTTATCAAACATTTGCACATATCTTGGTTAATTGTTGTGACCTAATAACAATAGGTAAATAACAACGTTTAAAATCAAATTTTATTAGTAAAATATAATATTACCATTGCTGTAACAATATCTCCTGGTGCTGGAACGATAGTTTTATCTTTACTTAGGACCTCTATCACTGATATCTAAAAGCATAATAAATTTGTTTAATCACTAATTAAATAAATTTAATAAAAATATGTTTACTTTGTTAGAGTCATCTACATTTACAATTCCAGCTACACTAGAATAAATGTAATCTTGTCTTTTGTACGTTCCTTTTCCTTGAGTATGTGTTGCATCAACTTGACAAAGTCTTTGTCCTATATACAACCAAATAGTTATAAAAATATACTACTTCACTTTAATTTTAATTATTGTTAAAAAATCATAAAATAAATTAATTTATACATTGATAAATAAATATTGCAAATGGAATATAAAGATATATAATATATATAGTTCTGATACCAACATTTGTACCATGATGTATGATGTATAAAAAAATATTGTAAATACCCAAAATCATACTACACGTGTGTTATACATTATAGTTAGTTAAAATTTTATCACATTTAAATTATATAATGATTTTAGAATATATAAAACTAGAAAATAGTAAATGAAATACAATATTTGAAAAATAATTGATATTTTTACAATATTTATACTTAAGGTTATTAATAATCAATAATATAATGTCCATTTTTGAATTAATAAATTTCAAGCAAAATTAAGTTTAATTCTGAAAGTTAAAGTGAAAAGGAGTAGTTACAGTGGTATAAAAACCTAGTGTGCAGAGGGTGCATTGCACCCAGGCCCTTGGTCTCTAACTATATAATATGGGGCCTGAAATTATCAAAAATATTTGATGATTAGGGGCCTCAAAGTTTTGATTCGCACACAGGTTTCAAGTGGTCTAGTTATGGCACTAAGTAGTTAAGTATAAACACATTTTTTAGAACTGAAAAAATGAATTTTCATATAATAATTTTGATAAGAAAATCATCGTAGTATATAATACAAATTACATTGACTTTCATAATAATATACGTAAGACAAATGTTTAAAAAACACCAAATAAAAGTCAAGTTTATACTACTTAAATTCTATACCACCTGATGTATTTGGTAATCATAAAAAAAATATTTCCTGTATTTTAAACATATACACTACAGTGTATTCAAATTAATGTGTAGCACAAAAGTGAGATAATACGTTATAGAAAAACACACGGGTATTAAACTTAATTTTAAATAGGTAAAAACACTAAGAACTAATATATAATAAATTAAGTTTTCTTTAAAAGATTATTTTTAAGTTTAGTTAGTATTATTAACAATATATAATATTGTAATATGTTTCTGAACTAAAATTCATTCTATCAAATATTAATGTTTAGAATAGTTTATTATAACACACGGTTATTTTTATTTCTCTAAAATTGATGTATTGAATGAATTTATTAAGTATCATACAATTCATGATTAATGAAAATTATGATTTAGATAATAATAGTAAATGAACAGTAAAACTTACCGGGCACACAAATTATTTTGTTTTCCATCGTATAACAAATCAGTCCAAGTATATAGTGAATTAAAAAAAAATATGTTTAATTTAATAGATTATTTTCTGTATTGAACGATCCATCATGCTGTAGTTTCAAATGTGTGTGTTATCAGAACAAGTATATAGTGATATGTTATCAATATTATTTCTATTCGGCATTTTGGCGGTCTTTGTAATTGTTTTGCTAAGAATATTCTAATTTTTTCTGCTTTAAATTACCATTAATATTTTATTACATCGTGAGCAGTCGTATTCATTCCTTGTGCAAAACTCAGCTAGAGAATTGTATGATTATGAATGTTTTTAAAAAAAAAAACGTTAAAAAATTTATTCTGAGTATGTACTCGTAATTTATAACTATGGTCCGTCCAGCGAGACAACGTGCTGGTTCTGCGTATGAAGAGTGACGATCACATATATCTTGTTTCTCCCTTTTAGCTACCCAATCATTCAAAAGATAGCCGATCGGTTATACCAGTGGTGGCCAAACTTTTTTTCCTCGGGCCATAAAAAACAAATTTTTTTTTATCGCGGGCCATAAAAAAAATGCATTTTAAATTTTTTTTTACGTAAATGCAAAATATTACAGTTATACAAATAAGTGCTGTAATATAGAAGACTTTCGCGGGCCAGATATCAAATGATGGCGGGCCGGAGTTGGCCCGCGGGCCGTAGTTTGGCCACCACTGGGTTATACGACAGGCGTGTCCAGACCTCCATGGCTGGGGAGACCAGTTATAAAATTTAAATTTTTTACTTACTATGGCGATCTATATCTATATTTGTGGCTTATTTTTGTTGTATGAAAATTATATAGCACCTGGAATTTTTTCACCCCGTAAAATTAAAGATTTTCTTGATCTTAAAATTGGTTTCCTATGCTATTATTACTATGAACTAATAAATAAGGCCTATTAACTAATGTCCTACTTATTTATTTTTTATAAATATTTTATCAACTATACATCAACCTTCTATACACATCTTATTACAGTTCACAGTTTAAAATAAACAGTTATTTATCAGTTTGGTTAAACAAGTAATTTATTAAAATATTACAAATAATAAAATTGAATAAATTTAAAATTTAAATTCACCTTCTACCTAAAATTACCTACTGTTACTGTTTTAGCCACTATATATTCGTGGTTTCACCATTATAAGCCAAGAGGCCAAGAACGTAACTGGGGAGGCCGTTACCCACCCTGCCTCCACCGTGTAGTGAGCCGGTCTGATCAGAACTGACTCAATACGTTTTATGACGAAGTCACCTCTTGTTGCAGTTAATTACACGTCCGTTGAAGTAAAATAAAAAAAACACTGTTTAAGTTATAAATGTGAAATTATTATATTACTGAGACACAACATAAAGTTAGCCCGATAAGTTAACAGTTGTAAGTTTAAACGTATCGGTCTATTCTTAAGTATGGTTTCATTGTATCTAATTAAACATTGACACTACATCCCTATTTATACGCAGATAGTTGGGCGTAGTGCGTAAAAGCAGTTTCCCAGATAGCATTTATGTAATAATAATGTTTTACAAACATCAAATTTTGATTATAAAAATAATAATACGAAGAAAACGTTTTTTTGAAGTCATATAATTATTAAATAATATAATAATAAAAGTATAATAATCATATAAGATTTTTTTTCGTAATAAAAAATTAATATTTCTAAAAAAATATTAAATTTTATATATCAAAATAATATTTTCAATATTATATTCATAAGAGAATTAATTCCAAATATCATAATATTATTTTTGATATAATAATTATAAACGATTAAACTCAGAACAATCTGTTAAAGTTCTTATTAAATTAATAATGTAAGAATCAAGTCGAAATAACAAAATAATATTTTAACATAATTATGTAAAATTCATCTACGTTATTTAATATTGGTAATGGTCTGTAATTGCCAAAAAATAATAGTACAAATAATAATAATTAAATTATAATTGTAAGTATATTTAAATTTTTATTCTGAACGGAGTGAAGAGTGTAGGTATTTTACAATGTCTACGCCACGTTTTGGAGCAGTAAACATGATCCGATTGCCTTGTATAGCATATTTCTGAAAGGAAAGTGGATATAGTTGGTACTTTTGCTGGAACAAAATACTTGAAAATTTAATAGAAGATTGCACATAGGTTGTTCTTACTGTCATTCAATAATTATTAAAATACATAGGCACAATTATTTTTTATAAGCGTTTAAAGCAAATATTGACATAAAATTACAATTTAAATAATAGAGAATATATAATAATATGCTAGACAAACAAATCATATCCGTTCAGAATCGTTTTTCGTATGCAATGATACCTATAATTGGATTCAACTTTAACACATCACTTAATGACCTAACCTATGAACGAGGTCCACTCCACCCTCTACTGTACAGCAGAGCAAGTCCTCGTCCAGTTCTTTTTTACAATGTAAGTTTTAACCTAACTACTTAAATGGTATTAATAGTATTTTAATAATATAGTTAATCTACCATCAAGACTAAAATAAATGAACATGTCATTATATATAATAGCTGCGGGATACGCAGTCGAAAAAAAGATTATTGTACCTAATAATATTTCTATTTTCTTCTGTCGAATTTCGTATGACGTAATAGTTAAAATTGAATACCCCAGTCCACAATACATTATATATTATTTTAGTCAGTGTTGCGTCGTTGCGAGTCCATTTATAATTTACTATCTATGATTTATCTGATTTTTCCCAGTTCCACGGATACGTCGCGTCCGCCGCGCCTCGACGACAACGAGTGACCCTCTCACTTCTCCCTACCCTATCGTGAATCGTCCGATATTGATACATATTGTATTATTGTCTTGAATTTGAATCGTGATTCTTGATATTTTATGAACAATAATTGGAATTCGGCATCGACATCTCTGCACTTGTTATCCTGCTGTTTTGCGATCTACGTACGTGATAAACTGGTAAGTAGATTTTTCGGTATCTATCTTGTATTCTAGTTTTAAGTATTGGACCCATTTTACATTCTCACTACAATTTTCTATGTTCCAAATTAATGAACTGGTAGGTATACTTAAATAAATAATTTCACTTTTATATTTTTCCTTGTACAGTCAGATGTGAAATGAGCATATAAGTACCTACTAATAAAATATTTATAAATATAATAATAAAAATAAATAATTAACTAAAATAATTAATAAAAAATAAGTATTTCTTATATACTACCTACCTGGTAGCTACTTATAGTTCAACTACACACTGTATAGGTACTATTATTTAAATGTAACTTATTCTGTGCTAGTAATTCTAGTACCTATAATAATATCCGAAACATTCAAACTGATAGTTTAATTTGTAATCAATATGGTAATATATAATAATTAAATACCTACCTAGTACATCTAAATATTTAATATACCTGCCTAGATACTTACATAAGTTGATTATATATTTAATACTATAGTTGTAGAAATATTTTTGCTATTTAGTTTTTTATTTTCTTGGTTAATTATAAATCATAACATGTATTGCACATAAAATTGAATAAAACCTGTTCACAGTAATAGTATTAAATTTATTAATTCATAATATATACTAACAGTAAGCTTTTAAGAATTAAAAACCCCTAAGAGTTATATCTCTTTGTTATTAGAGTTAAGAACTTAATTTATATGAGTGTAAGCCACAACCAATAATCTGATACTTAAAAAAAATAATTTAGCAGTTACTTTAGCATTATTTATTTATTATTAATTAGGTATTCCAAATTTTGAAACTTATTAAGTATGATTTTTACCCATACTTACACAATATTAAAGACTAGCCAATAGACTTGAATCTAAATAAAATTGGATGCTTATAGTCTTATAGGTAGACATCATACTTATTAACACTAAATGTTAGGTAGATAGCATATGGGTATATAGGTACTTAACAAGAATTTTACCTAGGTACTTACATATTTGTATCTTAATATACTGTATAACCTGATCTTGTAGGTACCTACTATTGTAAAAGTAGCGATAATGTCTTATCAAAAGAAGTCAAACCTAAGTATGCGTTCTAAGAGAAGAAGAGTCAATGAAGAACTCAAAAACACAACTTTACCTATATCAGCTCCTACAATTGACAAAAATGTACCGTTGACAGCTCATTCAACAAGAATTAATATTATCTCAGAAGCAAATTTGGTTACTCATGTTAAATCTGTGAACAATGTTTGTGTTGCGCCTTCACAGAGAAGTATTAATAAATCTCCGAATAAATCAGTTGATCACAATTTAGTGACCGAATCGGGTGACGCACTATCAGATGTTAGTGTTATTGAGTCTTCATCAGATGAAGGTAATTGTTCTACTTCAAATAAGTATGGTAAAACATTATTTTTTGTGTCATTAGTTGCTGAATGGGCTGTTAACTTAAAAATATCTCAAAATTCTCTTAATGGCTTATTAGATATTTTAAGGCAACACACTTGTTTTGAATAGTTGCCTAAAGATTCAAGAACAATATTACAGACTAAACCAATCAACATCTTAAATATTCACTCGGTAGAACCTGGAAACTATTATCATTTTGGCTTAGCTAATGCTATCAAAGAAAATATTCCATTACATTTAAAAAATAATGCTTCAGTGATCCATATTGTAGCAGGAATAGATGGTTTGCCTTTATTTAAGTCTACTGCTGAAGAATTTTGGCCAATACTTGCTTATATACAGCCAAATAGAAGTAATGTGTTTCCAGTAGGGATTTACTGTGGAAATAGAAAACCCTTGGACAGCAATACATTCCTGAAGTATTTTGTAGAAGAAATAAATTTTCTAGACAACAATAGTATTGAAATTAATGGAAAAAACTTTAAAGTTATGTTGGATGTGTTATGCTGTGACGCTCCGGCTAAATCATTCATATTAAAAACTAAAGGACATGCTGGATTCTCTTCTTGTTCAAGATGTGAGCATGAAGGAGAACACTTATTGAATAGAATGTGTTTTCCATATACAACACCAGATAATCGACCATCCAAGAGAACTCATCAGAGTTATATTTCTCAGTTTAATTAGGAATATCATACTGGAAATACTTCTATATTAACTACAGTACCATATTTTAACACCGTTACAGATTTTTCATTGGATTATCAACATTTAGTCTGCCTTGGTGTGGTTAGAAAAATTATGTATTTATGGATTAAAGGCCCAGTGCCTTGTTACGTGCCACCGTCTCGATTTTAAGTGTTGCAAGTCAAAGATGTATTTAATTTAAATAAACATGAGACTTTTAATACATTAATACATTTAT